GTTAATGAAATAAATCGAAGTCTAGTTCTAAGCAATGGCAGTGGCATGTATGTATTTGTATATCTAGCCGCGTATGCAATATACATGTGTATATGTGTGCCTGTACGAATTCAAATATGCAAATTTGGCAATGTGTAAATTTAGTTAAAACAGAATCATTACGGATGTAAAACAAAGGCAAAATGAGACAAAAAACACCTAAACAGAAAATGCAATGAATAATTTTTGTACTGCTGAAAAAGAAACCAAACCGAAAAACAGAACATTAACGTTAAGTGTACAATTTTGCATTAGGTAATAAATAAGTTTGTAATGCATTAGTAATTAAATACAATAAAATGTTCAGCTAATCACGAGGAAAGCAAAAGCAAACCCAAACTACAAATGCAACCAAAATAATGTTACGAAAATGCAATTGGAAGTTCAAATGGAAATTCGGCCAGCGGCAAAAAACATTTTACGCTTCGGTTAATCGCTCCACACAGAAGTAGACACGCCACGCCCCGCCACGCCACGCCTCATTTTATATAGAATCCGACCACATATTGTAACACCCACGACCGACCGACCATCAATCGCTTTTGGTTTTGCTGTAGAAATCGGGATGAAGTTCGTCTTAGACGAAATTCGCATGCCCTTCACAAAGTGCCCCAAGTTGAGAGAATTTGGTCAAATTTCAATCAAGAAATTACTCGTATTTGCGTTACAGTTAATATTGTTTTTTTTTTTTAAACCCGAATCTTTGTGGTGTAGTAAATTGTAGTAAAGGTTAAAATGTTTAAAAGGTAATTCAATAATGAACGTTTTTTGACTGTGATCATTTGAATGATATATAGAGAAATATGATATTATTGAGTATTGTTGTTGACAACAAAAAATGACGAAAAGCAATTAACTTCTTGGTCTCTGTTTAATCATCAATCAACCAGCACGCCAGAGCACGTTTCTTCTATAATTCCCCATCAGTGTAGTGTAGTTAGTTATCACTCCCCGATAGTCCCACCCACTTGACCTTGACATTATGATTCTCTATGGTTTCGTCACCGATCACACACTTACATACTCACATGCTCACACACTCACAATCGTGCTTGACAATATTTAATTTCCAAAAGGAGTTTTTCAATCATTCCATCACTGGCACACAACTCACAGGACATGCTGCGCCCAATTTGTAACTAAAACCGCTTATTCTGTTCCACATTGAGATACAGAGGCTTTGGACGAATACGAGGAGAGATTAGGAGATATTGAATGTTAACATTTATTTGTATAAGCTGCAGAACATTGTTGGATTTAGAGGAACCTGCATAGTTTTTTGATATTCATGTAGATACATGTAAATGCCACTCACTAAACTTAAGGAGATAGCTACCGATGGCATCAAGGATAATTGCATTATATTTGTAATATCAAACTGTTCATAGTTAAGACAAGGCAAGCCACAGGAAAACAATTAAGCAAACAAGAGAACACAAATAACAACAAATGTATATAAGCTGACTAGAATATTGATAATAGAAACTTTTGAAAACGAACTCAAATGAAACAAACAAATGAAGCTACAACAAAGTGCATATAATTTTGATAGTTAAGCTAATTTTAATACATTTTTTAAGACACAGCAAGAGGGCAAAGGTACTACGATAAGGAAACCAAATAGGAAATTTAAAACCAACTGAGGAGAAGCCGTGAAAATTATTCCATTTTTACACACCCTCAACCGGGGCTCGTTAATTGGTTTTGTTGTTACAGTAAATAATGCAATAAACATTCGCGTATTTCTTACTATTATTGTTATTATAATTGTTGTTATAAAGGAAATTTGAATTTGAGAATTGCACAATGATTTTTTATACACCGCAAATTGGCTTTGTCAGTGCAAGGAAATTCGTTTTATAAATTCGATCAACTCGAAAGCATGTCTGGCATTTAAAGCGGACACCACACGCATTGAACAATGGGCATTAATTTATACATATATAATGACGAGAGAAATAATGGAAAATAATAGAACTAGAACGCATATTGAATAATAAATGAGACATACATATTATTGAAAGAAATTAAAAAGGACATAACAAAACGGATGCATTTACTATCGTTTTATTTTATATTATGGTAATGAAAAATGGTTAAGTAAGTATATTCCAAGTATTAAGTTGAACAATTCCGCAGCATTTCTACTCGAAATCATCAGGCAGCAGAAATTATGTCAAGCCATCGTCCGTCATTCCAGGCCGATGGTTTTCCGGGAGGTTGGATCATGACGTTGGAGGTGGGATTGGAGGGCGGATTGGGTGGAGGTTGGTCTCTTGTGTATCGACGCAGCCTCGAGTTTCCTCGAAATTAAATGAAGTGAAATGAAAACAAAGGCATTCATCGTCGAGGGAGGCACCAGAAGCCAACGCATAGAGGCACACACATGCACCATCGCAGCACATGGGATTTGGGATGGGAAGGAGACGTACACTGTGCAAAACACTTTCAACAAATCCAGAACACTTTTAAATCATTTTTTTAAACACTAAAGATATTTCCATAAGCTTTTAATACTGTTTTGTAATATTTAATACTGTTAAAATATAACATTTTTTTTAATAAGCAATTACTTATCTTATAAGATAAGTGTCGTATTAAAGTTCTAGAGGATACATATATATCTTTCTTTACCTAATGTTATGACAGATTGAAATACATTTAGCCATAAAGACAGATACCTTTGTAGGATACCTTTCGTTATATTAAAGTTTTTAATTACAAAAAATACATAAAGATCTGGCTTAATAACTTTTAAAAAATGCAATCTCATAAGTGAATTTCCCCTGTGCAGACATTCTCCGCTTTATGGGGAAGCTCGTCCCCACATCCTAGCCCCCAGATGATGTTTACACTTGAGCTGCAGCAATGGCAAACACAATCTACATACCACAGCCCCCGCAACCTCGATGTGAAACCGCCATTCCACCGATTTTCCTTCGTCTTGTGCGTATTGGGGGAAAAGAAATCGCAGTGGTTTTTGCTAAGCAGGACCCACAGACTTCGATCCGAATTGTGTTTGCCTGGCAAAACCCAGAAACTGAGTTAGCGGTCGCCCTCTGTGCAGGAATACACATTACCCGGGTGTGGATGAAAGTGGTTGTTGCGGACGCAGGGAACGATGTCATAACCGTAAGCCCCAGTTGATCCTGCATCGATTAGTCGGGCAGGAAGTGTGTTCCCCATACCGGATGCTTGTCCACAAAATCCTGCCGCAAAGTTGCGAGCACAAATCGTAACAAGGTCCCAGGACCTCGGGCCACGCATCCCTCAACAGGTTAAAGGTAGCCAGTGATGGGGAGTACCTAAGTATTTACATATACATAGGTACATAATAGCTCCGCTTACTATAGTTTTTAGTATTTATTTCGCAAAATAGATTTTATATTCAAAAGAAATCAAAAATGCGCCATCCTTGCATAAAATCCCAGCTGCTATAGTGGTGGCACTAATGAAATATCGTTAAAAATCGGTATTTTCCGCTATTTTTTCTAAAAATGTTCGTGGCGAATGATTTTGATCGCATTTACATATCGCATTTATTTTAAATGAAATTCCCTTTGTAAATGCTCCAATGGAGTACGGCTTTAACTTACCCTTGAAAACGTATATTAATACCCGTTACAAAAATTTCATTGGTTGAGAAAAATATTTTAAAAGTATGAGAATTATATTATTACATAAATTAGCTATATGTATTATTGTCAATTGTGAAACTTTAAAAAGAGCTGGACCTAGTTTTACAAAGACATCTTTTTAAATTCCTGAAGGAAGTACCTTTCCCAACACTGCCGATATGCCACCAATTGATGAGTTTAAAAATGTGCAGGTTTTTGGGGTGGCGGGCGCATAAATCGCTCAACTTGGAGGAGCAATTGAGGGAACAACGAGCTTAACAAACTGCCAGAGCTCCTGGGGCGCTTTTTGTTTTCGACTTTGCTGTCTGTTCGGCTGCCGAGTGGAGTGGGGAAAAAGGGCAGGCAGTTGGCACTTCAGTTGAACACGTTAATGTGTCACTTTCGTCGGATGCCGGAGCCAGTTTCGGTGCGTCGGAAATGCCATAAATCAACACCCCGGCCATCGCCATGGAGAGCTATCGATTAGCCGGGGCTAACCTTCGGATTGGAGGCATGCGGCATTCGGGATGTGGCATGGGCCATGAGGCATGGGGCATGGGGCATAAGGGGCGTGCTGCTGCAGCGGTAAATGCGGCCACCAATGCCTGGACAGGTGCCCCTCCTCGGTCCTTGGGCCTCAGTTTTATGAACTTGACTTTCGGTTAGCTAACAGCCATAAGCCATCAGGAACCCTCCTCCGCACCCACTCCTCATCGCTTCCGGCCAAACACGAAACGGGTATGAAAATCCTCGCATGACTGCAGGAAATTACCATAATTTCAATTTAAGAAATTAAACGAATTCCGTTCTTGGCTGAAAAGAGAGCAGCGCCGACCGCCAAAAGAGTTGAGTTCAGACCCTAACTGGAGGAGCTTGAGATTTTAAGCAGGGTTTTACCCACATGGCATGTGGGTGGCACGTGTAGAGAGACTTGGAAAACGACAAAGTCTTGTTTTATGTCTATGTACCCTTTTTTCCACCATATTTCTTAGTTAGAGTTAATAAAAATTAAGATTTCTTAACATGTACATATCATTTGGTACAAATATATTTATGTACATATGTATTTGCTCTCAAAAATGAAAAACTAAATAAAATCTACATCTAAAATGTATTGTATTAAACAAAAAATAATGCAAGTCGGTAGATTATTGGGGAATGTTAGTATACAATTATTTAAAGTACAGTTAATTAATCGCAAGCCTAAAAAAAGTAGTGTTCATCAAAAAGTCTGAACCCTATAAGAGTCATTTAATAGAGGGCAACCCTCTATAAAATGTGCTTTGAGGTTATGACTCGTTTTCTCATACTATCTGCTGACACGTGACTGTCAAGGAGGCATTAATTATCTACCAATCTTCGAGTAATTAACCCAATGGACCCGTTGCGGCGAAATCCACTTCTGGCGGTGATCAAGTGCGAGATGTGTCCCAACCGAGTGTACCACTTCGTGACCGGACTGTGCGCCCGCTGCCTGACCATTTGGTGCGGAAGGAGGCAGCTGGACGGGATGCGGTTCAGCTTGGATCAAACGCGGTCGGTCATTGTTAGCATGGTCCGGGGTCCTCAGGACCTGAGCCAAATGGACCCCGTTTTCCGGCAAGCGCTGGATGAGGTCAGGTTGCAGCGCCTCCAGAGGGTCGACCTTTTCCAAAAGTTGCGCCACCAGTTCCAACTCGGAGTGCTCCACACACCGTTTCACGACCCACAGCCCCAATTTGTCACCGAGGAAGATTATTGGAATGTTCCGGAAATCACCGATTCAGATTTGCAGACGTTTCAGAACGAAGTTGACCTGCTGAGCGATGTGCCCCGGCAGTCACTAACTGACCTTGACCCGAACAACAATGAATTTGATTATTTTAAAGAATAGAATTTATGTGCAAATGTTTTCTGTTAGACAGAAACAAATTAATTGCAAAATACACTCATTTTAAAATGAAATATAACGCTTTTAATACGGATTGAATAAATACTAAAATTATTATGAAACACACATAAATCAAACTGTTATATGGACAAAATGGATTTAGAATTTTAGTTTTTTGTATGATGAGAAATAAAACGAGTTTTCCCCAGGCAAAAAATTCAAATCAATAAAAAATGACTGAATCTGCAATGATAAAAAAAATTTAATTTTTTGTAAGTTAAATATTTTTTAATTCTAAATTAAATTTTCAGATATTATGCAAAATAATGCATAAAATAATATACCTACAAACCGCAATCTATGAAAATCAAAAATATTTAAATTGTGTACAAAATATTTGGACTTAATAAATAATAAAAGATGGACAATTTTATAATAGTCTAAGCCCCCTTTAATTAGAAATCAAACTGAGTCAAGCTCGAGTTTAAATGAGCCTGTTAGCAAGTTTTTATAGGCAATTACCAATGCTGCTGTCGTGGGAATCTTTGAGAGGATTGCATCCAAGGCTTCGTACTTGGCAGTTTTAGTCGGTGTAATAAATTACCCAAAATCCATGCACAAACATTTCGACGCACTGGACGTTCAAGTCGAAACCAATTGAGCAAATTTGACGTCGAGGTCATCATTACCAGGCCAGAATGACTAGCCATTGGCTATCAGCCATCAAGATCTAAATATCTCCAGGGGCTCATGGACATTTTGCTAATGAAAATGTTTATTCAAATTTACGTCAATGGATATGTTTACACGAATGACCATCAATCTACATAAATAAAGGCAGGTTCAAAAGCCGGGATGTATGCGTATGTGTCGCAAAGTACGGCGTATTGTCCTTTGCCTGGCATTGTTCAGCAATTTGTTTAATGAGAAAACTAATAAATCAAATGCGCCATCAACTACAATCAAATTTACTCTGGAAACGCCACCGACAAAGAAACCACTTGTCCTTTGGATCGATAGATCGATTTTATTCGTTAGGGAAAAGTTCAACTTAAATTCGACAAAAAATAAATCATAAAAATAATTAAGTTAAGGTATTTAAATCAAGGGTAATATTTCTTAACATGAGATATTTTAATACCATGTTTTATTGTTGTTTAAAACATTCAAATAAAAAGTAACTCTATAATATACTTATTTTGAGGGATGAAATATGAACTTATAAGAACCAAAAAGGAATACTTTTTTTTTTCGAACAAAAACCAACTGTTACTGATATTTTTAAAGCTCTTGAATACTTGACCTCCTGAAGAGTTTCGTCTGCCTACCGTCTGTCCCAAATGACGCGGATTTAATAGTTCAAATACCAGATGGCCAAAGTCCAAGAGGCGTCTCATCAGCCTCAGCCAACGGTCAATGGGGCTGGAGCTGGAGCTGGGGAAAACCCAGTTGGCTGCTAAGTGGCAGGATAAGAGGCCAGGCAGAGGACATTAGTCAAGTGCAACAGCTTTCAAATAAACATAAATTGAGCATGCTGCGCCTGGACGGAGGATGGTGGATGCAGGACCAAGGATGTGCCAACGGGAGAGTCCCCGAGGGAGCTTAGGACCCAGTTGCTGCTCTTCTAGCCGCCTGGTGTCGTAATTAAAGGCAGTCGCGCAATAACGAAGAGAAATGCCCGCTGCCAAAGGAGCAGAGGATGCGCTTCTAATTTATTTGTTTTTCTCACTTGAGTTTTATTTACACGGGCATTGGCATGTGAGTGGCATGAAACGGAACGGTCGGGGGTATGTTGGGTGGTTTTTGGGTGGCTTTTGGGTGGTTTTTGGGTGTCTTTTGGGTGGCTTTAGAAGAGCAACTGCAACATGCAGACGTCGTTTGTTACCTTTGTTTGTGAAAGTTTTCCGTGCGCCTGTCGGGGCCAGGGCAAAGTGCCAAATTGGCCTAATGGCGTTAATGCGAATACGAGTCGAGACTAAACCAACGTCCAACCAGCCAGCCAGCCCCACATCAAAGGTCGTTTACACAGATCCGGTGTTGGTTTCAGTTGCAGTTTGGGTTGAAGATCCAGATGCAGATGTGGCTGCACTTGGAGATTGGGTGCAGTTGCCAGGGCAAAGCTTAATGGGCCCCCATTCCCACTCCCACTTCCAATCGACCGAACACAATGCAATGCAAATCAAAGCACTTAAAAAGTTGAGCAATTTGGCAACGAATGCTAATGGAAGTCGAGAACATTCCTGGGATACATTTCGACTTAGCTTCTGTTAAGTTTTAATTCCTCAGCCTTGGCATATTCATGAAACAAAAATAAGGAATTGGCTAACCAAAAAAGTTAAAAGCCGAAGCAATCAAATGCTTAGTCGGTTTTGCTGTAAACCTAATTGGTTTTGATGCCCATTTTACTATTTATTAAAAGATAGTCAAAGCTTACAATCGTAATGGTTATATGGTTATACTATTTTTAAAAATTACCAAAATTCCATTCCAAAGCCAAAGAAAAATTGCGTCCAGTAGAAGTCAAACATTTAAAGTAGGCTGGACATTGAAAAACATAATTTGCCCTGATTAAAACGAAAAGACTCCTGAGAAATTGATGGCTTCACTCCCGGTGACGAAATTCTAAGAGAACAGATTTTAGAAGAAACTCAACCAATTAAAGAAGTCAAACACATATTGCAAATCTGTGAAACATATAAACCAAAAATATGTTGGACATTCAATTTCTGCTAGTTTCTGCATGGCTTTATTTTCATGTTATGAACACATCAAGAAATCGACTTTAAGCTAGTTTAACTAATAGAAATACAGCGAGTGCACAACCAATTTAAAATATGCCTAAATAAAATTTGAATAGAATTTTATTCTTAAAATGACTACCCATATAATTCAAACAAATTTCACCTTCTACACTGGAATCTAATTTCAAGGGGGGCGTGGCCGTATTTAGTTCAAAAATTTGTTTGGTTGTTGCCACTTCGGTTGCACCGGATGTGCGTGATGCGGCGGTATTTGTGTAGGTCCCATTTCCGCATCCGCTTCGACTGAAAGCGCTGCAGTTGCAAATTTCGCCACGCCCACTGCGTAACCCGATGCGATTCCGCCCGCCAAAGTAGCCACCACTACCCCGGAACCTCAGCCATGTCCTATTCAAGTTTTGCATGTGCGTGATTTTCGAACATTTCCAGGGAGTCCATTTAACTTTTAATGGAATTTCCATAATCATGTTCAAAGTTGCGAAGGACCCCGGCAAATATCGTTTTATTAGTATTGCCGAAAAGCACAGGTTTAATTTTCATGGTAGTAATATGTAACAGATTCTCATGATGAACTAACTAGGTTTACTGATTATTGTTAAGAATCGAATCTAAATGCCCTATTACAATATAAGTGAATTTTATTAAAAATGTTTAATATTCTTTTTGTACATATTGCCAGTAATAATAATATGTTTAATATTTATTTTGTAGATACTGTTTGTACCAACTGAAAAAAACAAAAAGAAAAATAATTATTATATTAAATATTTTGTAGATATTGCCAGAACCAATCAAACCTGTTTTATAAATATATTCATCATTAAAAAACGGCAAAGAATATATCTATTTTCAAAAAAGTGTCACATGAAGTGTACCCAAACTAGTTTACTGTAAGCTAAGTTAGTTTAAAATAATATTAAATTCTTATATGACTAAAATGAATTGTTTTCTTAGATTAATGTTGGATATCTTTAGGAACCTTTGTGGCCCATTCAGACTAAAAGTATCTTTAAAACATGAGAGGAAGAAAACTGGCCTCTGAATTGTAATAATAATAGCACGCTTTTGCCGCGTGCTTGACACAATTAGGAATGGAATACCCTAATTTTTGTGAACCGTGCACACGACTAAATTACCATTTCAATCGGACACCTTAATTATACATTGTAGAGCACGATAGTGATTAGTCGCATTTGCACCGACCCACAGCGAGCACACATAAGCGCAATGTTGAACCTGCTACTGGATTTTCTGAACAGATCGCCGTCCGATCCAGTGCGTCTGCCACTCCTGAGCAGCCACAGACCTGTCCTGACGATACTGGCCACCTACCTGGTCTTCATAAAAGTGCTGGGTCCCAAAATCATGCAAAACCGAAAGCCATTCGATCTGCGTGGCGTAATAAAGGCCTACAACATTATGCAGATCCTTTACAATATTTTCATGTTTATTTTCGTAAGTGATCTCTGGATATATAGTACTAATTATCGGGGAGTAAAATATGTTTTTTTGCGCCAACAGGCGGTCCACTTTATGCTCGGGCCTGGAGACTATAACTTGAAGTGCATCAAAAACCTGCCGCCGGAACACGATTACAAGACCTGGGAACGCTGGCTCACCTACTCGTACTTCTTCAACAAACTTCTGGATCTGCTGGAGACCGTCTTCTTTGTCCTGCGAAAGAAGGATCGCCAGATATCCTTCCTGCACGTCTTCCACCATATGTACATGCTCTACTTCTCCTTCATGTACATGTATTACTACGGCTACGGGGGCCATGGCTTCTTCATGTGCTTTTTCAACGTAATCGTGCACATCATGATGTACGCCTACTACTACCAGTCCTCCCTCAACAGGGATTCGGGGACCGATCTGTGGTGGAAGAAGTACATCACAATCGTTCAGCTCGTTCAGTTCGGGATCATTTTGGGGCACAGCATCTACACCCTGAGACAGCCGGACTGTCCCTCATCTCGCTTTTCAGCCACTTGCGCTGGAAGCATCTGCGTTGTATTCATTATCTTATTTGGCAACTTCTACTATCAAGCCTATGTCAGGCCCAAAAAGACCGAACAAAAGGTCCTTTAAGTATCGAAATGTCTGTGAGTTGTGCCTTTTGAAGATGTGCCTTTACTTAAGATCTCTATAGAGATTAAACTATTAATTTAAGATTTAAATAAAGCGCTTTTTGCAGTGCACAAATATCGGTACGATTTGAAGGAATTTTAATATGTGAGTTTGGAAATTTGACGTATTTGTGTTCTATTCAGAAGTCGGACATTTTTAGAAATGACTGTATTAAAAATTTTGTTTATGGATTTTGCCAATTTCTTTAATAACTAAAATTGTGCTTACCTCATTCTGCTACATCAGTCTAGCTTGAATATAGTTTTTTCTTACCTTCCCCAAGCTTTTTTTAGTGCCTCCCTTAGTACTGATTCGATATGCCTCTTCAAAGCGAACGCAAAACAAAGGAAAGATTGGCTGCGTTGACCTGCACACTTTGATCAGTGCTAATCGACTGTGTTATGTAAGAAATTTATAGTCGGCGCACACCTGGTAGAAAAAATTTCCCCTTAAATAGATTTTACTTGCGTAAGTAAGTTGTTGTATAATATTACGCACACACCATTGGAATCCCGTAAATTAACATTTCGATTGTTAAGCGCAGTCAATTACATTCCAATATCCAGCACATGAAAAATCGATCAGTCGCTCCTCCACTGACACCCAGACCACATAGTCGCCATGTTCGCCCAGATGATGGACTTTCTGAACCGGACACCGCCGGATCCTGTGCGTCTGCCATTCACCAGCAGCCACTGGCCGGTCTTGGCCATACTGACCGCCTATATGGTCCTTATAAAGGTGGTGGGTCCGAGGTTCATGAAGAACCGAAAGGCCTACGATCTGCGTGGTGCCATCAAGGCCTACAACATCGTGCAAATCGTGTACAATATCATCATGTTTGTCAGTGTAAGTGATCGGGCGGAATGCGGGTATGATGGGTACGAGCTCTAAGACAAATCCCAACTCGTAGATCGCCCACTTTATGCTCGGTCCTGGCAACTACAACTTTAAGTGCATCTCCAACCTGCCGCTGGACCATGAGTACAAGACCTGGGAGCGATGGGTCAGCTATACGTACTTCTTCAACAAACTCATGGATCTGCTGGAGACGTTCTTCTTCGTCCTGCGAAAGAAGGATCGGCAGATCACCTTCTTGCACGTCTTCCACCACGTGTACATGGTGTACATTTGCTTCATGTACATGTACTATTATGGCTACGGCGGACACGGCCTATTCCTGATCAACTTCAACGTGGTCGTGCACATTATGATGTACGCCTACTACTACCAATCCTCTCTCGGCCAGGATAGGCAGGCGAATCTGTGGTGGAAGAAGTACATCACCGTCGTCCAGCTGGTCCAGTTCGTGATCGTTCTGTCGCACTGCATCTACATCCTCCAGCAGCCCGACTGCACCACATCCCGCCTTTCAGCCACGTGGGGCTCCTATGTATCTGTGGTATTCATAGTTCTATTTACCAACTTCTACGTTCGCGCCTACATTCTTCCCAAGAAAAAGAATGTGCAAGCGGCGCGGTAAACGATATGAACTTAGACGATCATTTAAGATTACAATGTAATATAGTTTTTTTTTTTTTTTTTAAGAGGCATACAGCAAGGACGCCTCTAAAGCCAAATGAGGGGGGAGGAGGGATTTATTAAGTAATGAAAATCATGCAATTATAAACACAAGTTTATAATTTACTTTTCACGATAGTTTTTGGGGGTAACTTTCGTTGAATCCCTTCTTTAAGAAACCGCGCCTGGCTTACAAAACATCTCAGTTCCGTTCTGGGATCTTGTGACTTCTTTATACCTTTAGACCTTTGAAAATAAACAGAGTTTCGTGTATTAGGTCAAGATTGTGGAAATAAATATACCTCTCTAATAAAAATCCTTTACCTTATTATTTTGCTATGAATGTGTGTGCGATTTCAAATTGGTATAGTTATGCCAGGTATTATTTTGGTTTTGACTAACCACATAAGTAATTTTAGTACAAAGTTCAGAGGTATTTTGCGCCTCTAGTTTATTCACTCTAATCAGCTGCCAAAAAGTAGACTATGATATATTTGCAAATACAATAAATTGTGTTCCTATTGTTTGTATAAAATACTTTCTGATAGTTTTTCCTAGTCAAATATATTGTATCTTAAGTTTTACATGTTAAGTAATTACTTATAAACAGTGCGATCACATAATTGCCTTAGAAGGGCTTATTTAATCGTTTTGAAATTACCATATCGACCATGTGCGCATATCTTATTACGTAAACGTTAAGTTTGACTATCGTGAGTGCAGAAAAGAAAGTCCAGAACGCAAATACCAGTTCACCCGATCGGACGCGAAAATGTTGGAAGTGTTTGACAAACCCTATGCGGATCCTGTCCAGCTGCCGCTGGTAGGCAGTTTATGGTCTTCGGTGCTCATACTGACGGTTTACCTGCTGTTTGTGCTGAAACTGGGCAGGAATCTGATGGAAAAGCATGAGGCCCTCCAGCTGCGAGGTGTCCTCAAGGTCTACAACATAGGACAAGTCCTTTTCAACACTCTGATATTTGTTTGGGTAAGTAAATCATACAAAATCTTCAATCAATATGGATTAAAAACATCAACTGGCTATGTCCGATACAAATTTTAATTTAAATGTAATAATTTGAAAGGTTTTGTAATATAAAAGCATATAATAATAGAACTGACTAAAAACCCGTTTTATTTTGAACAGGGATTTCATCATATATTCGTGTCCAGGCCGTACAACCTGAGTTGCATGACTGTCCTGCCGCAGGATCACGAACTGAAGTCCACTGAGAGGACTTTGGCCTACCTGTACCATCTGAACAAGGTGCTCGACCTGATGGACACCATCTTCTTTGTGCTGCGCAAGAAACCGCGCCAGATCACCTTCCTGCACGTGTTCCACCACGTTTTCATGGTGATAACGTCGCATCTGTTGATTCGGTTCTACGGCTTCGGCGGCCACGTCTTCCTGATCTGCATGTTCAACGTCCTGGTGCACATGGTCATGTACGGCTACTACTACGCCTCCTCGCAGAGCAGGAATGTGCAGGAGAGCCTCTGGTGGAAGAAGTACCTCACCTTGGGCCAGCTGGTGCAGTTCTTCCTGATGTTCCTCCACTGCGCCTACACCTATCTCCAGCCCAACTGCTCGGCCTCGCGGGGCGTCATGTACGTCATAAGTTCGGCCAGCGCCTTCATGTTTGTGATGTTCTCCAAGTTTTACATAAAGACCTACATTCGACCGAAGGTGGTCAAGTCCAGGGCTAAGGCCAACTGATTGCACATGCTACACTGTGGTAAAAAACTGCACTAGCAGCATAAACAATTGGAAACCTGCACATACAATTTATTTAACGTTCAAAAATATTTTTTAATTTTTTATCTCCTACTTGTTAACGTTTCTTCTTTTCTAATATATTTTATTAAAAATAAGTGCTACTATTTAACTGGAATTTTTAAAACCAACAATCATTTTGTAATATTTCTTAGTTTAGTAATGAATTCCAATTAAATTGATAAACCTAAGTTGGAAAGACCCCATATTTCTATTTAAGATACAATTTAAAATGACATAAATTGGAAAAGTTGCGTTTTTACAAGTTCCGATATGAAGTTGAGAACCGAAACTCTCAAGCGTGTGCTTAAGTGTAGTCCTTGATTTGCATATGCGCCGGCTGAATAATAGATTAATTCAAATGCATCGACACTTAATTCACATGCAGTCGTGGAGGTCAAGGAGCTGGCCCCCGCCCGGAATAAGTCCCATGGGCCACATCTCAAGTTTCCATCGGCTAGTCGAGGGATCCTTGCTGGTGGCTCGCACGTGATCTCTATGCTCCGCAGGACTTTTGCGAGCACGTGTCTGGACATTCCATGCTGCACTTAATTAGAATACAAGAATCGAGCTAGGCCAGTCCGGACGATTTATGGCACCGGAAGGGTCACCCCGTGACTGCCCGAATTTGCATACGAATCGCATGCGGCGAATCAGAGTCGAAGTGCCAGCTGAATAATTGCGGCCATGCAGTGACATTAAAGCGAAGCCACAGTCGGCTGCAGTAGCTTGGTTATGGTCGGCAGTTGGGTTCCCTCCTGGAGTGGGGTCACCAACGGGCTGGTGATGGTGCTCCGCTGGTCGAGCCACCGCGCGTGCAGAGTAATTGCCGTTTTAAATGACATTAAACGTGCTTTGTGTAGTTCCCTTAGCAGTCACAATACGCCTCTTTACCCCTGCCTTCGATTTTTCTCTATTTTTATTTTTACCCTTTGCATGGAGGAATGCGACACTGGTATAAAAATAGTTTTTGCATATCAAAAATATTTAGGAACAAAATATTCGAGGCTAAAAGCTTTAAATACCAAACTGTAGGATAGTCGTTGCCCATCTGTTGAGTATTGAAAAAATCTAATTTAATGTAGTATTTTTTCTTGGGGGTCACTTAAAGGTCATTAAGGGTCTATTAAACGGGTAGGAATTCAAGCATTGAAAACCACCATCTTTGCGAATTTAATTTCATTATATTATTAACCTACATTTGAAAACATTTTTTTCTTTAGGTAAATGATAAATATATTTGGAACACGGACTTAAAAATCTATTTTTTAATTAGATAATGCTAACAATAAACATGACAGAGTAAGAGTATTTACCATTCGACCGACCAGTAAAATAATGCGAAAAAAGTTTTTAGCAATTTACCATACTATACGTACATTCCGGGCTTTTTATACTATTTTATTTTATTACATGAACTTCATTACTTCTTAGGGGGTTTGCGTAGACGAATTTTATTCCTTATGTTTTGGACTCATTGGACGGCTCGTTCAGATTTCGATTTTCCGGACCTAATGTAGGTGTGATAGTAGAAGTTTCCGAACATTGCCGTGAATGAGGCAGCCAGAAGGGCGATACCAGAAGTCACTGGTCGGGAGACATTGCAGTTGGGCTGCATCAGGGTGAAGAGGCAGTGCAGCATGATGATCGCAAACTGGACCAGCTGGACAATGGTGATGTATTTCTTCCACCAGAGACTCTTCTGCACTTCCTGGCTGACCGATGAGAGGTAATAGTAGGTGTACATGACCACGTGCACCGCCACGTTGAGGAGGCACAGCGGAAACACAATGCCCCCATAGCCAATGAAGATATAGTGCAGGTATCCGCTGAAGGCCATGGAAAAGTGGTGGAAGACGTGCAGAAAGGATATCTGCCTGTCCTTCTTGCGCAGTACGAAGAAGACCGTTTCCACCAGGTCCGCGAATTTGTTAAACGTGTACAGGATGCAGATCAGGCGCTCCCTATCCTTGTGCTCGTGCTCCAGCGGCAGATTGACAACGCACCTCAATGTGTAGGCCCTCAAGACAAAGAGGAAGTGAATTCCCTAAAAAGTATTAGTTCGATCCTGTACTGCCAAAGTCATTCTCTTCGGAAAGTTGTTCACTTACTAAGACCAATATTACACCGTTGTACAGAATCTGTGCAATGTTGTAGACCTTTATCACGCCACGCAGATCAAAGGGTTTTCTTTTCTCCATGATTTTCGGACCCACTTTCAGAACAAAAACAAGATAGGCCGTCAAGGTGGCCATGGTAACCCATAGATTGCCAAAGATTGGCAGCTTTACAGGATCTATCGGGGTAAGCATGTTGGTTCAACAAGTCTACTTCCACTCGCGATCTATGTTGCACAGCAACTAACTCGAACCCATTTGCTAATGTTACACCAAACGTGCCACGATTGAATTAGAAACATAAATGCACATTATTCATACATAGGTCGTGCCTCGATTAAATCGTAAACATTGGAAATACATTATTTAAACACTGCGACATGCGCAGCATATTCTAACCGGATGGACAGAAATAACTTTTTAAGCTTTAATATATAAATTTAGAACAATTTAATCGAAAGCCATTTATTCTTAATAATTTTATCGCCATTTGCATGACTAGCAAAGGCCTGATTGTCTGCACCTTGTAAAACAAATTGTGACAAATGACTCTTTCTATTAATGGGAAATACTCATACGCAGTTCTCGGTGTGCGATTTAAATTTTACTTTGTATCAAGCTCCGAAGATATGCTAAGTTATTCCGAGTGATTACTAGTCTGACGAACGATCAAAGCTAACAACTAGTGTTCATTTAGCGGTGGATAAGACGGTACCCCAACAGCTGGTGCTCGTTCTTAAAATGCATATTTATTAAAAGACTTTCGGACTCATTGGACTTTCTTTTTGCCGGGCAGTACGTAGGCGTGGACGTAGAAATTTCCGAACATGAGTATGAAAGACGAGGCAACAAACATTCCCGAGTATATCACCGGACGGGAAGCATTGCAGTTGGGCTGCATCAGGGTGTAGCTGAAGCTCGAGAGCACCAATATGAACTGGAGCAGCTGGACAATGGTTATGTACTTTTTCCACCGACTCGACTGCACATCCTTGCTGACGGAGGAGAGGTAGTAGTAGGAGTACATGAGCACGTGCACGGCCACGTTCAGGAGGCAGAGCGGGAACAATGTGCCGCCATAGCCGCTGTACGTAATGTATATGTATCCGCCGAAGGACATGACCAGATGGTGAAAGACGTGCAGGAAGGACACCTGACGATTCTTCTTTCGCAGCACAAAAAATACCGTCTCCAGCAAATCCATGAATTTGTTGAAGAAGTACGAGTAGGTTATCCATCGCTCCCAGTTTTTGTACTCGTGATCCAGCGGCAGTCTGGAGATGCAACTTAAGTCGTATGCCTTCAGCACAAACAAGAAGTGAAGGCCCTGAAAAAATGCAATCGTAAGTACAATGCAAAATCTCGAGAAAACAATTTCTTTCAGTTCCGCATGCAACTTTAGAGCTAACTTTTTTCTGAAATACGCAATTCTTGGCTTTATATTCATGATAACTTTATTAACTTTGGTGATTTGCTCAGAACATGACAGTGTATGTGTCAAAACAGCTGTCTCAAACTATGCGAGTGTCGGCAGAGCGCAGTCAGGTAGGAACATGGAGCCCAGAGTGCTGTATTATTATGTTAAATAAATGCATATTGAGTGAAGAATGTTGTGTTCGCTATTTTTTTACTTGTACACTAGTACAAGTGTACTTATGTACAAAACTTTAAAGCTTTTTCTCACACAACTAACGCTTTCGTATTTTCTGTAGTTTAACTACGAGATTGACTTTGTTTTTCAATTTGTCAATATTTTGAGTTTTAAAATACAAAATTAACAGATTTTTTTTCCCAAAAAGTTTTTAGGGAAATGCGACTATGTGCAATGAAACAATTTTAATTTCAGATGGTCCATTCAATTCAATTTTTTTCCGAAACTTTTATATTGCTCTAATACAATGTATTTAAATGTTATATTATAATGTATCGTTGATTTTTAAGAATAGATTTGAACTGTCTGGTCAAAAAAAAAGAACAAAAATGTTATTTTTTTACAAAATACCTCAAAGTATAAACAGACCTATCGGTATGTAATTGGGGGTAGGTACTTACGCTTACAAGAACCACACTGTTGTAAATGATCTGCACGATATTGTAGACCTTGATCACTCCTCGGAGATCAAACGGCTTTCGGTTCTCCATGAACATTCTTCCCAGCTTCAGTACGAAGAGTAGGTAGACGAAAAGAATGGTCAGCGAGGGCCAAGGACTCCCTATGAGTGGCAGCTGGACAGGATCTTCCGAAATTAACAAGGTTCCATTCAAAAAATCGACCATGTTTGTATACAAGTTTCGTCGACCGGCTTCCACTCGAGGTAATGTTTCAATGGCGACTAATCAGAATTCCGTCTTTTATGCTCAACAAAATGCGCTTCGATTGAATTGGAAATTCGAGGGATTCAAGCAGCATAAAAAATAACATCATTTACATAAATTGCTTCTAATTTAGGGTTTGTATCTGTTTTTGTTTTTTTTTTTTTGTACTCTTTACCCAGTACTCAGAGCATGTAGGTTTTATTTATTAATAGTAAAAATAGATTAACAAAATCTATACTAAATCTTTAAATTAGGTATTGCCAGCTTATATATCTTATAATGAAAATGGGAATGATCTATAGAGTTTATTTGATTGTAATTTAAGTAATAACATAATTTGAATAGTTTGAGTAAAAAAAAACTTAATGAAAATCATAAATATGTAGCAAAAAATGATCGATTCGCCATTCTTGTAATTGTTTTATACGCACGTACGGAATTCACGCTTGTGAAATTGCCAATTAAACAACTTTCGACATGGCTGACAATGGAATAAATCTTTGTAGCGGATATCTGGCAGTCTGAATATTCGAACCATTTGTTCTCGCTTGTTTTTCCTTACCGTCGTGCTAAAGTTTTTTGTTGTTTTATTTTGCTTTAAGCCTTTTGCAATGCACGTGCCATGCAACCAAAAGCCATTTGTCGATGCGAAATTGCAAGAAATTGTACTTTATAAGCCAAGTCATTTTCCACTAACTATCCGTGGGCCAAGGAATTACTTTGGCAAAGGTGAAAGTAATGAGGGTGCTGTGGCTTAAGTGTCTGGATGGAATGGAGCTACAGGGGTTGTGTGGCTCTCAGGTGTCGGCCATTGCAAATTGAGTCATTTTTCATTCACTGCCACTGGATTACATCGAAAGTAAGGCAATGTGTCACAATTCCAGGGACATAATTGGGTCACACAATTATTTGTGCTTTGTGTGCGAGGCTTGACCTCTGAACAAAAAGGCGGATTATGACGCCTTTTTCTCTCACTTCTTTTTTTAATGGATTATTCGGGAGACAGGTGCATTCACATTATCCAGCCAAAGGCTAAGGACATAAAACCAACCATTTATAATGCCCGTTCAACCTTTCGGCTGTCTCTTCATGTGTGTGAGTGGGGCTTTTGCACGCCTGCCAAATTTCGTTAGGCAAATTACGAGTTATAAAAATTGCGTCTCATTATGGTGAATTTAATATTTCATGGGCAATTTACAGAGATTGAAACCGACACACTTCAAAAACTGCGAGCATCAGCACACACTCGCTCACACACGCACTCGGGTGTAATTACGGTTGCCGATTTCCATTGCCACAGGACCTTCTGTTCGTCCCTTCTTCATACAATTTTAAACTCAATTAAAAGTTGTGCGCATTAGACATACTTGTGCCAAAAGACCGAGGCACGAACCCCCACCGCGAAATGTGATTAGGGCGGAGCCAAAAAGTGGGCGTAACTCAAAGGACATTCGCATTAGTTGTCATTAAAAATGCGAGCGATACCATCTAAATGACTTGGCATATCCTGCATGTCAAGGAGAAAATAGAGTCTGACTGCAGCTCTGCACTCTTCAAGCATACAGGTGAATTGAAGTCAGCAGCCCATTGAGACACATTGATACGCTTCTTGGCTTTTAAGTCCAAAAAAAATAATGTAGGCTGAGAAGAAAAATTCCTTGGAGGTTTCTGCACTACAATTTTTTTGAGGGGATGTCGTTCCAAAAAGGTCGCAGTCATTTCTACTTGGTTGAATTTAAAAATTTCGTTAGTCTTAGATTTACTTATGCCAAAATACACAACAAATTATTTGTACGATTTAGTTCTTTAGAATGAACAAACAAAAAAATTAATTAGATTGGTTGTTTAGTTAAAATTACGAGGTTTTGATTTTAAGGATCATATATTCTAATTCTCATATATATAAAAATCGATCAAATCCTAAAAAAAAAATTAAGAACATTTAAAAGCCTACTCATTTTCTAACTCATTAAAAGTATCTAGTTTTAAAAAAAGGCATATATATACAAGATCTTTTTTAAAATGAAACCTGAAACAAATATATAAATTCATTAAAAGATGAATTTTATTGTAAAAATAAAATGTTATTGTTTTAAGTATAAATATATTTTTAAATACTTCAAGAATCCTGACCGCAGGAAAATCCATTTACTCAGTTTTCCAGGCGGCCTGAATGCGAAATGCGAGTGGTCGCGACCGCCTGAATAATGAAAGCAAATCGGAAAGAGGCAAAACAGCAAAAAGTTAAATGCCTCTAATGACAGAAAATGAAGCAAATGGCGAAAAATTGCGCAAAACAAAGAGACAAATAATAACATGCCAAAATGGCAGACTCGGACTCGTTGGGCCACCCACTGGAGTACACCCACTTGAGGCCACCGCACATCCTCGAGCAAGGGGCGAGGAGCCAGCAGCCAGGACCAAGGAGAGCACGCACCAGCGAAGATAGGAAGGTAACCGTGGGGGCCAAGTGAATTACCAACAACGGACGAATCAAGAAAAGCATGTGCGCGGCATAATTACGAAGCAATTAGACAAAATTATTATTGAGGTCAGCGGCAAGGGGCCGTCGGGGAGTAGCGGGCAGCAGGCAGCAGGCCCCCAACAACACATGGCCATGGTCGCCTCCCGAAAACCGCCCAACCCTCGTGCCAGAGGGGTCGCAGACCGAAGGGATGCGTATGCCATTATCATTCACTTCAAGCGGAAGCGGAGGAAGAAGGCGCAGCGTAATGCCCCCTAAATGAGCAGCACAAAGCGCACACCAAAACAATGCTCAGAGCAGCTAGTTTAAGCGGGTGAAACCGGAAAAAATTTGCGAAAACTACGACAGGACACATCGAAGCCTAAATGGGCAGCCAAAACCTTTGAACAACTTTAACCAAAGTCGACCAAAGTGGGTATACTTTTGGAGACAGCAATTTTGTAATTAATTTTTATCGCATAAGTTGAAATAATGCTATCGTATATTCGCAAATAAAAAAATAAACAAGTAGAAACTGGTCACAAAACAATTAATATGAATGAAATCAATTTTATGTTATCAATTATAACCCTAAATACTATTGTACCATTTCTACATTTGATATAACTTTTTAGATGTCCTGAAAAATTCAACAGTTTGACAAGCAAACATCATAAAAACATATTTTTAATTATATTTAAGGATTTCTTGATTACTATATATTAACAAAAATCTGTTTTAATTAAGATAATTTTGCAATACTTTTTCAAAAAAATGTAATGTTAATGTTGTTACAAGGACAGTAACCTAATGAATTTCTTTAGAGTATTTTTTGTGATAGTTCTCTGTCTCCGCACTGTCTCCGCGCTGTTGCCCCCCAGAAATTCGTCATCAACAAACAAAACTCGTTTTTGGTTTGCTCAGCTGCCACTGGGAAATGGAATATAGCTAGCCAGGAAATTACATGAAAGCCCATTTTCTCGGTTTTCAAAATTTAGATTACTAAAAATACGAGAAAATGGGCCTTAGAATTATAATTATGAAAAATATACTTCACACTTGGCACAAGATCAATAACATCAAATGTCCATTACAGAAATAGCAAAGTTTTTTTTTCATAACTGATAGGTGAAGTTAAATTTTAGGCATTTAATAAAGTAGTAAAAACATAACGGAAAATACCAATGCTAACCGTTGAAAAAAGGGGGCGTGGTGCGACCCTAATTGTCGATTGGCAGCAGATAAAAACCTTGCATGCATGTTGACTGCTTGAAAAGCGGGCTCAAAAAACTAAAATTTTATGCAAACTCATATAAATGTCCATATGTAGTAGTTTGTAGTAGTTGTAGTTTTTAAAACACGATTAAATAAATTAATTCTAAATGTTGGAACAAATCTTATACATATAAATTCAAAATTTTAAAATTTTCGCGCACAGGAAAAGTTTTATTTGCCGATTTAAAAATCATATCGAAAAAAATACCTTACTATGCCTTTTCAGTACATTTTTTCACCGAAATTTAAGCTTAAAACTTGCAGTATATTTCCACTTCCCGCCTGGTATATTCTGGTAGTCGAGCCGCGGTCACACTGAACGCTAAAATTAAAAATCGGATGAAAGGTGGTTTCGCTGCTGAAATTTAGGTGAAAATAGTGTGAAATTGTGTTAAGTGCAATATCAATGCGTTAGAACTCTTGTTTTAGCGTTGTGAAAAGTGTTTTTTGGCCGTAAAATATCAAAAAGAAAGCAGAGTGGCTGCTGCGAAGAGGAATCAAAGAGGAGACGGAGTAACAATGAGCGAGCGAGACGGCAGCTGGCCAGTGTGAGCGCTAGTGCTGCTCCTCTAACCAAATAAAACAAAACAAAGGAAGAGACAAAGGATAGAAACCCGAAAAAGGCACAGGATATATATATATATATATATATGTATATATATAGATATATAACATATATTCAATCAAAGGCTTCCAGGATATATCCAGCCGATCGGAAGCTGAACGTACATAGCTTTTAGCAAACTAGTGAAGGGATCGCGTGAAAAGTCGTTGGCAGTGTGAGTGCGTGTGCATATGGGGTTGAAAAACTGTGAAAATTCAAGCGCAAAAGTCTTCGGCTCCGATTAACTCGCGGAAAACTCATCGCTGGGCAGGTGGAGAAAATGCCGAGCGCCTCGTTCACCTCGTCGCGCACCTACGTGCGCCGCTCCCGCCGGAAAGGAGCTAACCGGATAGCGATGCCCAACCGGCCCACGGGCAACATCATGGATCCTATGCTCCAGCAGAACGTGGCCGCCGCTGGTGGCGGAGCAGGAGCAAGTGCGTCTGGTTCCAGCAGTAGTGGTGGCGGGAGCAGCAACAACAGCAGCAGTGGGAACAGCAGCACGGCTTCCACATCCACAACCGGAGCAGCAGGAACCGGAGGAGCAGTTGCAGCAGGTGCTTCCAGTTCAGCGGAGTACTTCGACAGCGGCCAAGGGGCCAGCGGATCCAGTGGAGCTGCGTCCTCGGGCTTCTCTGGCAGCTTCTACAATGCCCTGCAAATGATGGACACCACCGAGAGCTCGGGCGCCGGTTCCAGTCAGTCCACGCCACCGGTTTTAGGAGCCTCCTCCTCCTCCTCAAAGTCCACCTGCGCCACAGCCGGATCCAGTACGGCCACGACGTCCGCCGCCGCGGCAGCTGCAGCCTCCGCTTCCGCCGTCAGTAGTCACCAGAGCCCGTACGACTTGCGCCGCAAGATCTCTGCCAGCAGCCACGAACAGTGGCCCACCAGCTCTTCCTCCGCCGTGGCAACAGCTGCCGCCATACTTGTGGGACCCTCGAGCAGCTCGCCGCCGCTGGTCAATCCCGGCGCCTCGCCCTCCAGCTCCTCGTCGTCCTCCACCTCCAGCTCGTCGTCCTCGTCCGCCTCGTCCTCGAGCTCCTCGTCCAACGTGCAGGCGCCCTCGACCAGTGCCACCTTCCCGGTGAACAATGCACCTACCACGGGAGCCACTCTGGCGCAGCCCCCGAATGTCCACAGCTCAGTGCCGCAGCAGCATTGTGGGGCTCTGCCCGTGGGAGCGGCCATCGAGGACAATAACTACATGCTGCCGGCTCGGAAGCGATCGCGACGCCTCTACACGCAAGGCGGTGAGATGGGTCCCGCTGCGGGAGCCACGGGAGAGGCAGCCGGAGCAGGAACAGCAGCTTCCGGATCGGCAGGCTGTGCGCCCACTGCGGCCCAGTACCTTCAGTACGAACTGCCTGACGAGGTGCTGCTGGCCATATTCTCGTATCTGATGGAACAGGACCTCTGCCGCCTGGCTCTCGTGTGCAAGCGCTTCAACACCATTGCCAACGACACGGAGCTGTGGAAGCGCCTCTACCAGTCGGTCTTTGAGTACGACCTGCCGCTCTTCAACCCGGAGCTCTGCAAGTTCGTGTTTGAGAAACCCGAGGAGTCGGAGTACGCCAACCCGTGGAAGGAAAGCTTTCACCAGCTGTACCGCGGCGTGCATGTGCGTCCCGGCTACCAGGAGCGTCGCAGCTCCGGCCGCAGCATTGTTTTCTTCAACACCATTCAGGCGGCTCTGGATTACCCCGAAGAGCGGGCCGCTGCGGGAGTGTTCGTGCCCGCTGGCGCAGGTGCCGGCAATGTGGTCTCCGCCGGACTGTCTAACACAAGTGCAGCGGCGGGCGCAGGCGGAGCAGGTGGGGCCAGCGTGAATGCACTGGTCAACATCTACGAGGAGCAGGTGGCGCCCACCGAGCATCCAGGACCGCTGATATTCCTCCATGCTGGCCACTACAAGGGCGAGTATCTGTTCATCGACTCGGACGTGGCTCTGGTTGGGGCTGCACCTGGCAACGTTGCCGAATCCGTAATCCTGGAGCGGGAAGCCGGATCCACGGTGATGTTCGTTGAGGGGGCCAAGTACGCCTACGTCGGCTACCTCACGCTCAAGTTCTCGCCGGAAGTCACTTCGACAGTATCGCATCACAAGCACTACTGCCTGGACATCGGCGAAAACTGCTCCCCCACCGTGGACAACTGTATCATTCGCTCTACCTCGGTGGTGGGCGCTGCCGTCTGTGTGGGCGGGGTCAATGCCAATCCCGTGATCCGCAATTGCGATATCAGTGACTGCGAGAATGTAGGCCTCTATGTCACCGACTACGCCCAGGGAACCTACGAGCACAACGAGATCAGCCGAAACGCTTTGGCTGGAATTTGGGTGAAGAACTTCGCCAGTCCGATCATGCGGGAGAACCACATACACCACGGACGGGACGTGGGCATCTTTACTTTCGAAAACGGAATGGTATGTTGGATCAAACGAGTTCTCCTTCAGTTTGTAAGCCCCAATCAAATCTCATAAAGTATATAAACATTTTTATTACATTAAACCGCATCATATTTAAAAAGAAACGCTCTAAAAGCTTCGAATCCTTATTTGAAAACATTTCTTTTGAAGCATATTAACTATACCCCTTTAAAGCAATTAGCCATTCTGAAATTGTTCATTACTTTCATATATTAATAATAATTGTATTTTCTACTTGAAGGGTTACTTTGAGAAGAATGACATTCACAACAATCGCATAGCTGGTTTCGAGGTGAAGGCCGGAGCAAATCCCACGGTGGTTAAGTGCGAGATCCACCATGGCCAGACAGGCGGCATCTATGTGCATGAGAATGGCTTGGGTCAGTTCATCGAGAACCGCATTCATTCGAATAACTTTGCAGGTAAGACGCATAGAGTCTCAATATCAAACTGTTTCTAATCAACACTCTTTGTCGTGAAGGTGTTTGGATAACCTCTAACAGCAACCCCACCATCCGCAAGAACGAGATCTACAACGGCCACCAGGGTGGCGTGTACATCTTCGGCGAGGGTCGTGGTCTGATCGAGCACAACAACATTTACGGAAATGCGCTGGCCGGGATTCAGATCCGTACCAATAGCGACCCCATAGTGCGGCACAACAAGATCCACCATGGCCAGCACGGCGGCATCTATGTGCACGAGAAGGGTCAGGGGCTGATCGAGGAGAATGAGGTGTACTCCAACACATTGGCCGGCGTGTGGATCACCACCGGGAGCACACCCGTTCTGCGTCGCAACCGGATCCATTCGGGCAAACAAGTGGGGGTCTACTTCTACGACAACGGACACGGCAAACTGGAGGACAACGACATATTCAACCACCTATACTCGGGGGTGCAGATTCGAACGGGCAGCAATCCGGTGATACGGGGTAACAAGATCTGGGGCGGCCAGAACGGCGGAGTACTCGTCTACAACGGCGGCCTAGGACTGCTGGAGCAGAACGAGATCTTCGACAACGCCATGGCCGGGGTGTGGATCAAAACAGACTCCAACCCGACGCTCAAGCGCAACAAGATATACGATGGCCGCGACGGTGGGATCTGCATCTTCAACGGCGGCAAGGGAATCCTCGAGGAAAACGACATTTTCCGCAACACGCAGGCCGGAGTTCTCATCTCGACGCAGTCGCATCCTATCCTGCGACGAAATCGCATCTATGATGGCCAGGCGGCGGGCGTGGAGATCACCAACAATGCCACGGCCACGCTGGAGCACAACCAGATATTCAAAAACAAGTTCGGCGGGCTGTGCTTGGCCAGCGGCGTTCAGCCCATAACGCGAGGCAACAACATCTTCAACAACGAGGATGAGGTGGAGAAGGCCGTCTCCAGCGGGCAGTGCCTGTACAAAATTAGCAGCTACACATCCTTCCCCATGCACGACTTCTATCGCTGCCAGACCTGCAACACAACCGACCGCAACGCCATTTGCGTCAATTGCATCAAGAATTGTCATGCTGGCCATGACGTGGAGTTTATACGACACGATCGGTGAGTAGGAAGCAAATCAACTTATCATAACTGGGTGCATACATGTTATAGCTTTATAAGTTGATTTTGACAACAGTAATATTGCTTTAAAGTGTTCGGACATAAAATGTTCATTGTTCATTATAATTGCAGTTTTTTTAAATCTGTCAGTCTAGCGAAAATTCGCATTGAATTAATAAATCCTTATTTATTCCACAGCTTCTTTTGCGATTGCGGTGCTGGCACTCTGTCCAACCAATGTCAACTGCAGGGCGAGCCCACTCAGGACACGGACACGCTCTACGACTCGGCGGCGCCCATGGAGTCACACACACTGATGGTCAACTAGTGAACTTATTTCGGCAGCTCAACCACGGTCCTATTCTTAGCTATATCTTAAGTCAGTCGTTAAGGCCAAGCTCTCAAATCTCTCGCACATCTCACGTGTTGCTGTAAATATTCGAAAGAAACCAACAAACAAAACACACTATAATACAATTAATTGTATGTAAATAATAACTAATTACTCATGCGTTCAAAATTTAACTCAATGTGCAATTTAGTTTAACACGAACTCACACGCAAAGTTTACACTTTTTAACTGAGCATATGGAACGGATAAATCAATGCAAAACTTATAAAACACTGAAACTTTTCCCATTTATGTCACAACGAATGAAGCACTGAGGGGAGGAACACCTTTAATATACAATGCATTTGATTGTACGTCGAAATGTTGTAAACGATGGAGGAACATTTGAGTCCTCTCGAACCCAGTGAAAAACAATTTTGTAATGTAGACTAGTAGACATTTTAAAATTACATCAATTAACATAAAAACTACGTGTAAGCCATAGATATTAATGAGAGATATACACAGGCGAGCGAGTCGGCCCCTGACTAACAACAATTCGAAGAAAGCAATTCTAAGTATTAACAACAAACTAGATTAGCGGCAGCCAATGCTTCAGCAAACTAACCTATGAATAACGAGTATAGTAAACACATAACATAACTACATCTTAACGAAATACAGCACACTATATATATTCATGCGAATCTATGCGAATTCTACTGAATCAGCACACAGACAAGATACAAAATCAAAAGCCTTTACCAAGCGTAAAATACCAAGCAATATTTCATGTCTAAATGTTGTAGAACAAATTTGTAGCTCAAACGTAAACGAGAAATAGAAACAAACAAAAGCCATGTGTCATTTTAGTCGTATAAGTTGATCAACAGTTTAGTATTTAGTTTGTCTACGGTCCGCGTTTTCGAATTATGCAAATCATTTTTAATTTAAGTCTGTAGCCTAGGCCTAAGTGAACGCAAAACCCATAACTATTGCATAGATGACATTATCCGATAAATACGTGTGAATTAAGTATTTTGTTTTTATTGCCTAACATTTTATTTATATTTGTTTGCCCGTGTTGACCCCAACGGTTCGTTTTCGTAGGCCCTTACTCGCTGTACGGATCAAATAACCACATAAATACTGCATACTATATTCTATATTCAACTATATGAAATATACGAAAATCAGAGTGTATTGTTTTACTAACAAAAATTTAAGCACGTCCTTGACGTGCGACTATACTATGTAGAGATTGATTTTAATGTGTTACCTATGCAAGCTAATAATGTCGTCGCCCTTGACTTGGACAAACCACTAAATATACATACTTATATATACACAAGGTATAAGCTAATAATATTTGAAATTTGACAAAAAAAAAGAGAAGCATCTTTAATTTCAAAATTCGGAACTTGGGTCTAATATATATAATATATATATCCTAATTCGAACAGGAACAAGGATCCTCCTTGGCCAACTCGCTCTCCCGGAATCGTAGCAGTGTAAGGATGTGGGCATGATTGGCTGCCTTGGCGTAGTCAATGGGACTCATGCCCAGCTCATCCTTTACGTACGGATTCTTGTAGTGCGGCAGCAGATACTCAACGACCTCGTGGTTGCCCAACTGGCAGGCGTAATGCAGGGCAGTGCGTCCGGTTCGATCTGCCAGCGTGAGATTGGCCCCAGCCACCCGGAAGGACTCCAATCGCTGGATCTTGCCTCGCTCCGTGAGGGCACGCAGCAGCTCTGCCTGAACCAGCGGCTGATCATTCAACTTCGCTCCGTGCTTGAGCAGCGCCTTGATAACATCGTGGTTGTCCGTGTCGATGGCCTCGTGCAACGGCGTGCGATTGAACCGATCGTGCACATTCACCGGACAGCCGGACGAGATCAGGAAGCAGACGCAGTTCAGCTTGCCCAGGAAACAGGCCAGGTGCAGGGCTGAGCGTCCGTCGCAGTTGGTGTCGCACAGATTGGCACCGTACTGCTTGAGATCGCCCAACTTGTGGACATCACCCTCGGTGACGGCAGCTGCCACCAAAGCGGGATAGAAGGTGGAGCACATCTGCTGACGCTCCAGCCCCGTGGACATGTGCAGGGTGCGGGCAACGCCCTCGATCAGGTCGATGTCGTTGATCTTGGCCACCTTGTTGGTGGTCAGCTCGCCGCGCAGGCTCAGCAGCATCACCTTCTTCTTGTTGGCCACGTCCCATTCCGGCTTGGACAGCACGTAGGCCAGTTTGGCGAAGGCGGCCTCCTGGGTCATGTCATAGCCGGGGATTACGCCCACCTCGAGCAGCGCATGACCCGTCTCGTAGGTGTTCGTAACCATGCCCGCCGAACACTGGGTGATGTTCACGACGATGACGCCGCGGTGGACCGCCTCTCTCAGTTCGTCCAGTAACTCCTCACGGTTCACCGGAAAGTTGCCGGCCCCGAAGGTCTGAAGAACCACACCTTTAATAGGATCCTTGAGGAAGGCCTGCACCACACTGACAGTTATTCCCGGGTAAATGCGCAGCAGGGCCACGTTCTTCTCCAGCTCGCTGTGCAGTGAAAATGGTTTCACATTGCAGGGACGGAAGATCTGACGGCTGTTGATCTCGATGTTCACACCTGCCCGGCCCAACGGAGCAAAATTTGGCGAATCGAGGGCGTGGAAGGAGTCCGAGTTGAGCTTAGTGGAGCGACAGCCACGAAGGATCTTGTTCCCGAAAAAGACAAGTACCTCGGGTATGTTGTAGTTCCCTGCTATCAGCAGTGCGCCCAGGAAGTTGTCCCGTCCATCGGACCGGGCCTCAAAAATCGGCATCTGGGCACCGGTGACCACTACGGGTTTGTTCAAATTCTCCAGCATGAAGGCCAGCGCCGAGGCGGAGTAGGCCAAGGTATCCGTTCCGTGAAGGATCACGAAGCCGTCATAGGACTGGTAGTTGGTCTAGGGTAGTAGGAGGAAACTAGTGAAAGACCGCACTCTTCCCAGAATTTGTTGTAATCATTTAAGACTCAAATGCATATACATTTTAAAAGATTGGGAAGGAAATTATTTTAATGGGACCACTTACCCCCACTTCGTTGGCCATGCGCTTCCAGTCACAGATGCCCATGCAGCTGGAGTCCAGCAGGGGACAGAACTCGACCAGATCGTAGATGACACGATACGGAGCTCCTGAAACCGCTGGCAGTGCCATATAGCCCTTACCATGCACTTGGCTGGTGTACTTCAAGTCGTGGCAGCTGGGAATTTCGTGGAGCCGCTCAGCCAACATCCCGGGCACGGTGTGCAGAACTAATGGAATTTAAGGGATAAGTACATACACATACCTATACCATAGAGGATACGAATCACAAACCTCCCGAGTCGTTGCGCATCATTCCAATGGTGCCGCCCACGTAGATGACATGGACACGAGCCTCCTTTTTGGTGCACCCGCAATTCACTGTTGGCATATTGGCTGGACTCCTTTTTTGAATTTTGAAAGTCTTCCGAAACAAATTTAGCTAATTCAAGGCTTAGTTCCTTGTCCCTTGGGATAGACACTGAGATCCATGAGCACTACGGTGAGTTTTTTTTTCAAAGCATTAAGTTGAGATTATTTTAAATTTGCCGCCAAACAAAATGAACCGTTGTTACGGAACATTTTTTGGTGTGACCATTTCGCCAAGGATTTAAGTTAGGGATGGACTTTTCTCAAATCAGTAATAACGTTATTATTAACGGTTGTTATTAACGATGCAATAATGTATCATATAATTCTCAATATAACAATCATAAATAATCCATTTGTATTTAATGATCTTTTTATTGGTTGACCACTCGTTGTGTGAGCTAAAAATTAGCAAAAGCATCGCCCATAGATATACTACCAATAAACATAAGTCATTTAATTCTTTTATATAGAATTTAATAAGAATCTCTGAAATAATCGAAATTAAATAAGTAAGGCAATGCAAATAAAATCAGTTATAAAAGCAACTCTTTTTTATTTTTAAAAGATTTGGCATACATAAACTAAAAGTGTGTAGTCTTGTGAAGATTTATTTTATGTCACGATACAAAGACCCCCCGTGAACCGTGACCGATCGTGACTAGGAGCAGTCACGACGTATTCGCCCATCCCTAGTTTCCACAGTGCAGTGCAACAAATAATAAATAAATAAATAGCAGAGCAGAGCATTAAACGAATAAATTGCACCCCACAGCGTGTCAAGTGAGTTGGGGATTGAAATCCGAGTTATCTGCTTCGTTGGTGCGGCTGCCACTGCGTCGCGTTGCGTCCGCCGTATCAGTCGCTGGCTGGAGCGCAGGGAGCACGGAAGCCACACAATCAGCGGCGCATTTAAAAGACTCCAATCCGTACGCTGCTGCGGCAGCCCGCGGGTCATCGGATTGCCATGTCCTACTTCACGCACGCGGCCAGCAGCGACCTGGTCAACCTCAATGTGGGTGGTCAGCGGTAAGAACAAAGCATATAGAGCCACCACAGCATAACGACTGGCCAGCGATGACATTGATGACGCATGCAATCTCCATCTCACTTTCCGTAGCTTTTCGACGTCGCGGCAAACGCTTACGTGGATCCCGGACACCTTCTTCACGGCCCTCCTCAGCGGACGCATCTCGAGCCTGAGGGACGAGCACAACGCCATCTTCATTGATCGCGATCCGACGCTCTTCTCCATCATCCTCAACTACCTGAGGACCAAGGACATCGACATCAAGAACTGCGAAATCCGTGCCCTGCGCCACGAGGCCGAGTACTACGGCATCACACCGCTGACCAAGCGCCTGGCGCTCTGCGAGGACCTGAACCACTCGTCCTGCGGCGATGTGCTCTTCTACGGCTTTTTGGCGGCGCCGCCCATGCCCTCTAACGAAGCCGTTCCACCCACTGCGGTGGACGAGTCGCTGCCCTCCACATCGTCGAGTGCTGTGGCTGCTCGTCCCGGCTCCATGGTGCGAGTTCCAGAGCCCTCCCGTTCGACGCACTCGCGCAACTCTTCGTGGGATCTGCGCCTGGGTCGCACGGGCAGCAGTGGCAGCGGGCCCAATCCGCCAGCTCCCATGCTGCACTCTCGAAACCCGTCCATGGACTTCATGCGGCACTCGCGCAATTCCTCGGCGGATCTGAACAAGGCCTTTCGAAACGAGGTGGGCCTGGTGTTCAGTCCCACGCAAAACTCCAACTGGGTGGATCCCATGCGTGTGCAGATCATCAAAGCGCACCAAAACTGGATAGCAGTGGCCTACGCCCACTTCGTGACTTGCTACCGCGTCAAGGACTCCAACGGCTGGCAACAGGTGTTCACTTCGCCTCACATCGACGCCACCATCGAGAGGATCGCCATCAACTCGAAGGTGAACACATCCACGGCGGAGCCAGTGCCCAGCAAGATGGTAGCCATCTCGTACGGCAGTCAGATCAGGCTGTGGAGCATCCAGGATGGCGGGCAGAAGACCGACGTGGGCACCTTCAACCTGAACGTGCGGGTGGAGTATCTGTTCTTCATCGGCAGCCAGCTGGTGGCCCTGTCCTCCTCCGGCAAGATCGGCGTGTGGCACGCCATGACCCAGCACTGGCAGATCCAGGACCTGGTGCCCGTGCTCTCCTTCGACTCGGCCGGCTCGTTCCTGCTGCTGGGCTGCAACAACGGCTCCATCTACTACATAGACATGCAGAAGTTCCCGCTTCGAATGAAGGACAACGATTTGCTGGTCACTGAGCTCTACAAAGACGTCACACTGGACCCCATCACGGCCATCTCGGTGTACCTTACCCCGAAAACGTCGAGCATCAGTGGCAATTGGATCGAGATTGCCTACGGCACCAAGTCCGGAGCGGTGCGGATCATTGTCCAGCATCCAGAGACGGCTGGCCATGGGCCACATCTCTTCGAGACATTCTTTGTCCACCAGAGCCCCGTAACCAAGGTAATGCTGTCGGAGAAGTACCTCGTCTCCGTGTGCAGCGAATACCACCACGTGCGAACCTGGAGTCTGACCCGCTTCCGTGGCATGCTGTCCACACAGCCGGGCTCCACGCCGGAGGCCTCCTTCAAGATCGTCTCGCTGGAGGCCACCGATACCAGCTACAGCTATGCGGCTGGCAACGATTTCGGGCCCTATGGCGACTACGACGACATGATCTTCGTGCAGAAGGTGGTGCCCGAGACGGATCAACTGTACGTACGCTTGGCTTCCAACGGGGATCGCGTCTGCGTTATCCGCTCCGTGGACAGCTCGACAGTTTCGGCCTTCTGTGTGCACGAGTGCGAGGTATCGTCGCGCATGGGATCCCGGTTCATACTCACTGGTCACTGCAACGGCGCCATTCAAATGTGGGACCTAACCACCGCACTGGCGCTGCTATCCAAGGATGAGCCGCAGCAGAAAACTAACGGCGGACCCGACACCAATGAGCTTCTCCGCCTACTTGACCAGTGTGAAATCAGCAATTCATCATGCTCAACACCTTGTATGTCACCGTGTCTATCAGCTATGGGCAACGGTTCTGGAATGGCCTCCTCCTCCATAGCCCGCATGAAAGCCAGCAACATAGCCCTGCTCAACCGGGAACCGGCGCTGGTTGCCCAGGTGCAGCCCGCCGCCCAGGTGCAAGCTCCACTTCCGGCGGCAGTGGCGCCGGCTGGCATCCCGATGGCTGACGACAACAACGAATGAGACGTGGAAGCGGCTGCTTGGTCGGCGCTTGTCGGGCGCGTTTCATCGTTCACATTACCTAGGTGTAGCTTGATCATCGACTACCAATTTATATTCCTGCAGTTCGTGGTGTGCGCCCTCGTCTATGTCTGGGTGACGCGGATCACCCGCGGCCCAGCCACTGGGCCGTGATGGACTGCCAGCAGGCATTTACCCAATCAGATAATCTCCATAATATGTGCTCGATGTGGTTGCAAGTGCAATGTGTATACCCGTTACCCTTTCTTTGTGTCCCGAACTTGTGGATCGTACAGTTAGTATTTTTTAAAACGCCTTTGTTCTAGTTAAAGTTATGAAAATTAGTTAAAACAATGTAAACCAGAGTATAAGACTTTTGCAACCGATCTATAATTAGCACGTCTCCTAAAGGGTGCTTCATTGGGACGGATTCGGAGCCTTATCAATGCTGGTCTAAACAGCGGATAAGATTGGTTGCCCAGAACAAAGTAAGTTCATTGAACAACAAATTGATTCTTTGTTTTCGTGTCAACCCCGAATGTTAATACTTGTGATTTAGAATTGATTGAGCGGTTGATCTACAACGGCCACCAGGGTGGCGTGTACATCTTCGGCGAGGGTCGTGGTCTGATCGAGCACAACAACATTTACGGAAATGCGCTGGCCGGGATTCAGATCCGTACCAATAGCGACCCCATAGTGCGGCACAACAAGATCCACCATGGCCAGCACGGCGGCATCTATGTGCACGAGAAGGGTCAGGGGCTGATCGAGGAGAATGAGGTGTACTCCAACACATTGGCCGGCGTGTGGATCACCACCGGGAGCACACCCGTTCTGCGTCGCAACCGGATCCATTCGGGCAAACAAGTGGGGGTCTACTTCTACGACAACGGACACGGCAAACTGGAGGACAACGACATATTCAACCACCTATACTCGGGGGTGCAGATTCGAACGGGCAGCAATCCGGTGATACGGGGTAACAAGATCTGGGGCGGCCAGAACGGCGGAGTACTCGTCTACAACGGCGGCCTAGGACTGCTGGAGCAGAACGAGATCTTCGACAACGCCATGGCCGGGGTGTGGATCAAAACAGACTCCAACCCGACGCTCAAGCGCAACAAGATATACGATGGCCGCGACGGTGGGATCTGCATCTTCAACGGCGGCAAGGGAATCCTCGAGGAAAACGACATTTTCCGCAACACGCAGGCCGGAGTTCTCATCTCGACGCAGTCGCATCCTATCCTGCGACGAAATCGCATCTATGATGGCCAGGCGGCGGGCGTGGAGATCACCAACAATGCCACGGCCACGCTGGAGCACAACCAGATATTCAAAAACAAGTTCGGCGGGCTGTGCTTGGCCAGCGGCGTTCAGCCCATAACGCGAGGCAACAACATCTTCAACAACGAGGATGAGGTGGAGAAGGCCGTCTCCAGCGGGCAGTGCCTGTACAAAATTAGCAGCTACACATCCTTCCCCATGCACGACTTCTATCGCTGCCAGACCTGCAACACAACCGACCGCAACGCCATTTGCGTCAATTGCATCAAGAATTGTCATGCTGGCCATGACGTGGAGTTTATACGACACGATCGGTGAGTAGGAAGCAAATCAACTTATCATAACTGGGTGCATACATGTTATAGCTTTATAAGTTGATTTTGACAACAGTAATATTGCTTTAAAGTGTTCGGACATAAAATGTTCATTGTTCATTATAATTGCAGTTTTTTTAAATCTGTCAGTCTAGCGAAAATTCGCATTGAATTAATAAATCCTTATTTATTCCACAGCTTCTTTTGCGATTGCGGTGCTGGCACTCTGTCCAACCAATGTCAACTGCAGGGCGAGCCCACTCAGGACACGGACACGCTCTACGACTCGGCGGCGCCCATGGAGTCACACACACTGATGGTCAACTAGTGAACTTATTTCGGCAGCTCAACCACGGTCCTATTCTTAGCTATATCTTAAGTCAGTCGTTAAGGCCAAGCTCTCAAATCTCTCGCACATCTCACGTGTTGCTGTAAATATTCGAAAGAAACCAACAAACAAAACACACTATAATACAATTAATTGTATGTAAATAATAACTAATTACTCATGCGTTCAAAATTTAACTCAATGTGCAATTTAGTTTAACACGAACTCACACGCAAAGTTTACACTTTTTAACTGAGCATATGGAACGGATAAATCAATGCAAAACTTATAAAACACTGAAACTTTTCCCATTTATGTCACAACGAATGAAGCACTGAGGGGAGGAACACCTTTAATATACAATGCATTTGATTGTACGTCGAAATGTTGTAAACGATGGAGGAACATTTGAGTCCTCTCGAACCCAGTGAAAAACAATTTTGTAATGTAGACTAGTAGACATTTTAAAATTACATCAATTAACATAAAAACTACGTGTAAGCCATAGATATTAATGAGAGATATACACAGGCGAGCGAGTCGGCCCCTGACTAACAACAATTCGAAGAAAGCAATTCTAAGTATTAACAACAAACTAGATTAGCGGCAGCCAATGCTTCAGCAAACTAACCTATGAATAACGAGTATAGTAAACACATAACATAACTACATCTTAACGAAATACAGCACACTATATATATTCATGCGAATCTATGCGAATTCTACTGAATCAGCACACAGACAAGATACAAAATCAAAAGCCTTTACCAAGCGTAAAATACCAAGCAATATTTCATGTCTAAATGTTGTAGAACAAATTTGTAGCTCAAACGTAAACGAGAAATAGAAACAAACAAAAGCCATGTGTCATTTTAGTCGTATAAGTTGATCAACAGTTTAGTATTTAGTTTGTCTACGGTCCGCGTTTTCGAATTATGCAAATCATTTTTAATTTAAGTCTGTAGCCTAGGCCTAAGTGAACGCAAAACCCATAACTATTGCATAGATGACATTATCCGATAAATACGTGTGAATTAAGTATTTTGTTTTTATTGCCTAACATTTTATTTATATTTGTTTGCCCGTGTTGACCCCAACGGTTCGTTTTCGTAGGCCCTTACTCGCTGTACGGATCAAATAACCACATAAATACTGCATACTATATTCTATATTCAACTATATGAAATATACGAAAATCAGAGTGTATTGTTTTACTAACAAAAATTTAAGCACGTCCTTGACGTGCGACTATACTATGTAGAGATTGATTTTAATGTGTTACCTATGCAAGCTAATAATGTCGTCGCCCTTGACTTGGACAAACCACTAAATATACATACTTATATATACACAAGGTATAAGCTAATAATATTTGAAATTTGACAAAAAAAAAGAGAAGCATCTTTAATTTCAAAATTCGGAACTTGGGTCTAATATATATAATATATATATCCTAATTCGAACAGGAACAAGGATCCTCCTTGGCCAACTCGCTCTCCCGGAATCGTAGCAGTGTAAGGATGTGGGCATGATTGGCTGCCTTGGCGTAGTCAATGGGACTCATGCCCAGCTCATCCTTTACGTACGGATTCTTGTAGTGCGGCAGCAGATACTCAACGACCTCGTGGTTGCCCAACTGGCAGGCGTAATGCAGGGCAGTGCGTCCGGTTCGATCTGCCAGCGTGAGATTGGCCCCAGCCACCCGGAAGGACTCCAATCGCTGGATCTTGCCTCGCTCCGTGAGGGCACGCAGCAGCTCTGCCTGAACCAGCGGCTGATCATTCAACTTCGCTCCGTGCTTGAGCAGCGCCTTGATAACATCGTGGTTGTCCGTGTCGATGGCCTCGTGCAACGGCGTGCGATTGAACCGATCGTGCACATTCACCGGACAGCCGGACGAGATCAGGAAGCAGACGCAGTTCAGCTTGCCCAGGAAACAGGCCAGGTGCAGGGCTGAGCGTCCGTCGCAGTTGGTGTCGCACAGATTGGCACCGTACTGCTTGAGATCGCCCAACTTGTGGACATCACCCTCGGTGACGGCAGCTGCCACCAAAGCGGGATAGAAGGTGGAGCACATCTGCTGACGCTCCAGCCCCGTGGACATGTGCAGGGTGCGGGCAACGCCCTCGATCAGGTCGATGTCGTTGATCTTGGCCACCTTGTTGGTGGTCAGCTCGCCGCGCAGGCTCAGCAGCATCACCTTCTTCTTGTTGGCCACGTCCCATTCCGGCTTGGACAGCACGTAGGCCAGTTTGGCGAAGGCGGCCTCCTGGGTCATGTCATAGCCGGGGATTACGCCCACCTCGAGCAGCGCATGACCCGTCTCGTAGGTGTTCGTAACCATGCCCGCCGAACACTGGGTGATGTTCACGACGATGACGCCGCGGTGGACCGCCTCTCTCAGTTCGTCCAGTAACTCCTCACGGTTCACCGGAAAGTTGCCGGCCCCGAAGGTCTGAAGAACCACACCTTTAATAGGATCCTTGAGGAAGGCCTGCACCACACTGACAGTTATTCCCGGGTAAATGCGCAGCAGGGCCACGTTCTTCTCCAGCTCGCTGTGCAGTGAAAATGGTTTCACATTGCAGGGACGGAAGATCTGACGGCTGTTGATCTCGATGTTCACACCTGCCCGGCCCAACGGAGCAAAATTTGGCGAATCGAGGGCGTGGAAGGAGTCCGAGTTGAGCTTAGTGGAGCGACAGCCACGAAGGATCTTGTTCCCGAAAAAGACAAGTACCTCGGGTATGTTGTAGTTCCCTGCTATCAGCAGTGCGCCCAGGAAGTTGTCCCGTCCATCGGACCGGGCCTCAAAAATCGGCATCTGGGCACCGGTGACCACTACGGGTTTGTTCAAATTCTCCAGCATGAAGGCCAGCGCCGAGGCGGAGTAGGCCAAGGTATCCGTTCCGTGAAGGATCACGAAGCCGTCATAGGACTGGTAGTTGGTCTAGGGTAGTAGGAGGAAACTAGTGAAAGACCGCACTCTTCCCAGAATTTGTTGTAATCATTTAAGACTCAAATGCATATACATTTTAAAAGATTGGGAAGGAAATTATTTTAATGGGACCACTTACCCCCACTTCGTTGGCCATGCGCTTCCAGTCACAGATGCCCATGCAGCTGGAGTCCAGCAGGGGACAGAACTCGACCAGATCGTAGATGACACGATACGGAGCTCCTGAAACCGCTGGCAGTGCCATATAGCCCTTACCATGCACTTGGCTGGTGTACTTCAAGTCGTGGCAGCTGGGAATTTCGTGGAGCCGCTCAGCCAACATCCCGGGCACGGTGTGCAGAACTAATGGAATTTAAGGGATAAGTACATACACATACCTATACCATAGAGGATACGAATCACAAACCTCCCGAGTCGTTGCGCATCATTCCAATGGTGCCGCCCACGTAGATGACATGGACACGAGCCTCCTTTTTGGTGCACCCGCAATTCACTGTTGGCATATTGGCTGGACTCCTTTTTTGAATTTTGAAAGTCTTCCGAAACAAATTTAGCTAATTCAAGGCTTAGTTCCTTGTCCCTTGGGATAGACACTGAGATCCATGAGCACTACGGTGAGTTTTTTTTCAAAGCATTAAGTTGAGATTATTTTAAATTTGCCGCCAAACAAAATGAACCGTTGTTACGGAACATTTTTTGGTGTGACCATTTCGCCAAGGATTTAAGTTAGGGATGGACTTTTCTCAAATCAGTAATAACGTTATTATTAACGGTTGTTATTAACGATGCAATAATGTATCATATAATTCTCAATATAACAATCATAAATAATCCATTTGTATTTAATGATCTTTTTATTGGTTGACCACTCGTTGTGTGAGCTAAAAATTAGCAAAAGCATCGCCCATAGATATACTACCAATAAACATAAGTCATTTAATTCTTTTATATAGAATTTAATAAGAATCTCTGAAATAATCGAAATTAAATAAGTAAGGCAATGCAAATAAAATCAGTTATAAAAGCAACTCTTTTTTATTTTTAAAAGATTTGGCATACATAAACTAAAAGTGTGTAGTCTTGTGAAGATTTATTTTATGTCACGATACAAAGACCCCCCCGTGAACCGTGACCGATCGTGACTAGGAGCAGTCACGACGTATTCGCCCATCCCTAGTTTCCACAGTGCAGTGCAACAAATAATAAATAAATAAATAGCAGAGCAGAGCATTAAACGAATAAATTGCACCCCACAGCGTGTCAAGTGAGTTGGGGATTGAAATCCGAGTTATCTGCTTCGTTGGTGCGGCTGCCACTGCGTCGCGTTGCGTCCGCCGTATCAGTCGCTGGCTGGAGCGCAGGGAGCACGGAAGCCACACAATCAGCGGCGCATTTAAAAGACTCCAATCCGTACGCTGCTGCGGCAGCCCGCGGGTCATCGGATTGCCATGTCCTACTTCACGCACGCGGCCAGCAGCGACCTGGTCAACCTCAATGTGGGTGGTCAGCGGTAAGAACAAAGCATATAGAGCCACCACAGCATAACGACTGGCCAGCGATGACATTGATGACGCATGCAATCTCCATCTCACTTTCCGTAGCTTTTCGACGTCGCGGCAAACGCTTACGTGGATCCCGGACACCTTCTTCACGGCCCTCCTCAGCGGACGCATCTCGAGCCTGAGGGACGAGCACAACGCCATCTTCATTGATCGCGATCCGACGCTCTTCTCCATCATCCTCAACTACCTGAGGACCAAGGACATCGACATCAAGAACTGCGAAATCCGTGCCCTGCGCCACGAGGCCGAGTACTACGGCATCACACCGCTGACCAAGCGCCTGGCGCTCTGCGAGGACCTGAACCACTCGTCCTGCGGCGATGTGCTCTTCTACGGCTTTTGGCGGCGCCGCCCATGCCCTCTAACGAAGCCGTTCCACCCACTGCGGTGGACGAGTCGCTGCCCTCCACATCGTCGAGTGCTGTGGCTGCTCGTCCCGGCTCCATGGTGCGAGTTCCAGAGCCCTCCCGTTCGACGCACTCGCGCAACTCTTCGTGGGATCTGCGCCTGGGTCGCACGGGCAGCAGTGGCAGCGGGCCCAATCCGCCAGCTCCCATGCTGCACTCTCGAAACCCGTCCATGGACTTCATGCGGCACTCGCGCAATTCCTCGGCGGAT